GTCTAATTCTGCTGGCTCTATTTCCTTGAAATGTACTGTCATGGCACAAATACAGAATGTCACTGGCTCCCTACAGCTGGCCCCAGGAGGGACAGTCTATGTCCCCTGAGACTGAGGAGATCAACAGGTTCGATTGACAGTGGAGAGAAAAAAGAGGGTCTGGAAAAACACATCACAGCCCTGTAAACATGGCTTCTCATGGGCATGACAAAAAGAAGAGCACTAGAACTCCATGTCTTTCTGACAAGTACAAAACCACAGTGAAATATGAAATGTGAAGCATCTGTTCTTTTCTATTTAAATCACTTGTTCACTCAGTGGTTAGTCTGTATGCACCAAATGCACAAATACTGGCTATGCACAGGGATACAAAGATACTCTAGGTGGCTCTTTTCTCAAGAGTCACAGTCTGGCTAGGATCACAAACTTATAAAAATAAGAATAGCAAATACTTACACAGTACTTACCATAGCTCAAGCTCTGTATGAATTAACTCATTTCATTCTCATATGGCCCTATAAAGTAGGTACTATTATTATCTCCCTTTCAGAGATGAGGAAATTTGGACCCAGTTAGGTTAAGCAACATGCCTAAGGTCACACAGCTAGTAACCCAGACAGTCTGACTCTGGACCTGTTACCACTACTCTCTATTGCCCTCTGTAAACATATATAAGCAGTAGAATGAAATGACTGCTGTTAGGCAACATATACTAGATGGCCTTCTATTATTTACAAAACCAAACAAAACATTAGAGGCATTAAATAGAAAAGAGATCCCTAAATCTCCCTTGTAACACTCATCCTGCCCTTTAGCTACTCTGTTAGGACGTTACTCCTCTCAACTCCTTTGAGTTCTCTCACTACAAAATCAGCTCCTTTGCATCTGTTCTATTCTCTAGAGACAAAGAAGGTGGAAGAAAGAGATTTGCATGCCGCATGTGGACAGAAGAGACCATCAGATTTCTTTGACAGCAGTGGAGTCAGGCTTCTGTCTCCCCGTGCACATCGAAGCACAGTGATGAGTAGGAGCGAGTGGTCGTGGCTTCTCTGGGGTTACGTAATAACAAAACAATAACCAGCTTCACTTAGCTCAGCAGCTGCTGGAAAAGAGGGCCAACTCCTTTGAGAGTCACTGAAGTTGACTGATCAGGCTCTACCTCTACCGCCTGTGAAGTTGTTGAAACATAGCTTTTGGCTTAAAGGCAGAAAGTTGGAAAGAGGAGCCAGTGACTGGAGGATGTGCTGCTTTCTTAGTGGGTGCTCTGACAGGCCCACTGGGACCACCCTCCCACCTCCAGCGAGTGCCTGCTGTACGTAAAGCCTATCTGGACTTTGCCCCACGTGTTGAGGATGCAGAGGAGACTTAGATCATCCCTCTATTCTCATAGCTTTCACATTCTTTTGATTCTTTTGATACATTTAAATCTTAAGTGTGTATGTGTGGACTGTGTTGTTTAGTTCTGCCTCGCTAGATGCAAAGTTTCACCTTGCTAGTCTGTTCTATTCTTTTTCATTAAAATATATTACAATCCATTAAATTGATATCTCGATCCCCTAATGTGCAGTGGATCAAGTTATGCAGTTAGAAAACACTAGTCTGGAAAAAGATACCTAACATGTATCATTACAAACCAATGTGTAAGTGCAAACACAGAAGTAGCACAAGGTATAGAGCCCTGAAGAAGACATGTGTTAGGAGCCTGGAGAATCTTTTCCCATGTCCTTTCTATTACCTGCTGTGGGGCACCTACAGCACATCTGTGGGAATGTCTGTTGGCCTGATTTCCCAGCACGTCTCTCACCAGTTTCTCAATCCACCCCTGCACAGTCTATAGATACTGTCTCTGGGTGACCTGAGCTAACATCATCTGTGATACCATCTGTGAGTGCAGAGACAGGGTGGGGACAGACCTTTCCGGCTCTAGAACTATCTCAAGTTCCCTAAGCGCAGGAAGGATCCCACATTTATTCTTCATTTCATCAGGCTCTGTCTTTTTGTTTCTTTCAGGCTCGGCACCAGTGGGTCTTGAGTGACAGGGTGGAGCAGGTCCCAGAGGCAGAGAGTGGGGCAGCAAGTGTCAAGAAAGCAATGACTGCTGGCTGCCGATACGGAATGAAGATGCGATTGTGCAGAGGCGACTCCAATACACAATACACGCCAATACACAAATTTCTTCTCCTGGGAGTGCACTGCCAACAAGTTGTAGGCCAAGTCTCAGAAAAGCAGACAGGGAGGGTACCAAGCAGACGACCCCTGGGAGAGTGCCCTGATGACCAGTCTAGGTGTGCATTTTATTCATGAGCTTCATAGATACTGGAAATGGAAAGTGTCTGAGCTAATGAGTAATCATGAAGAATAGAATTAATGATATGTAAATATTTTTCTTCCAAGAAAATGCTTGGGAGCATCCTGGAGCCAAGCAATGTTGTGGTGAAAAGCATGGGCTTTCGGATAAGACTGACCTGGGGACAAATCCTGGTGTCCCATTTCCTACGTGCTCTTTGGAAAACACTTGAGAAGAGAGGAGCGTACAAGCCAATCCTGGATTTCTGGAAGCTCACGACTACTGCTTAACCTTTCTGGGCCTCAGTTTCCCCAGAGTAAAGCAAGGATAATGAGAGAACTTACTTCTCAGGGTTGTTGTGAAGTTTAAATATGAAAATGGCTGATCCATAGCAAGCTCAGCATAGGTTAGCTGCATACCTTTGGGTTGTGAGTGAGAAGCAACAGAAGCAAGACCAAGGAGGCTGGTAAATGGCCATAGGCCACATGAGACTCCGCCTGCATTTTGTATTTTCTTCGCTCCACTGGCCTGAAGCAGAGTAGAGACACCCTCTGCTGACGGCTTCACCTATCTCAGAGACAGAGCTATTTGGGAAGTAACAGTTAGTTCCTCAAAGCCCTACTCGCTGTTCCTCTTTACATTTATCCCAATTTTGTTCCAACCCTGAATGCATGGGCCAGAGGTAACTTTCCTTGCTGAGTTCCATGGAACGGTGGGAAGAGCCAGCCGCCAAGGCCTATGTAGAAACAGAACAAAACCACTCTCCTTTGGGGTCCTGGGGTGGGGAGGGCTCTACAGCCAGCCCATAGAGACTCTCCTTACCCGCTGCAGACAGACGAGCTGCCCCTGGGAACTGAGAGCAGAGGCCCAGCAGCTGGGGGCTGAGGAATGGATCCTGACAGCTGCTGGGAGAACAAATTCCTTTTTCTTAAATCCATGACTTGGAAATCTCTCTTTGAGATCAGTCTCAAGGGGCAGCATTTCTTCATGAGACTGAACTCCAGGGAGTTGAATGGGAAGAAGCGTAGCAGTCCACTGCTTGCCCAGGATGGTTCCAACCATCTTCATAAGCAAAGCTTGACTTGGGACAGTGATGTTTCTGACCACAGAAAGACTCTGCAGAAAACACTCTGTAGCGTTCAAAAGGGTAATTTTAAAATGTGATGTCTCACGGTTCATGAAACAGTGATGGAAAATGCAAGTGGACAGTCCTCCCACAACATTCCATATTGGCCTTGCAGAGTTGCAAAGTCCATTAGCATATAAAAGGCACTGTGAAGTCAGGCAGCAAAGAATTTTGCATTAATCTGCTGTTTAACCCAGTGTTTCCCAAACAAACTTGCTCACAGACCCTTTGGCTAAGAAAGAAGTTCTTTCTGTGGAACATTCCTGGACAAAGTGAGTCAGGGCCTCCTCTCATCTACACTGTGCCTCTTTGCAAATTAAAAACTTGTGCCATGAGCAGAGTGCAGGCAGGTTCCAGCCTCCACTAGTGTCCTTGGCCAGACCATGAATATAGCAGCCTGACTGGGAAAGGACACATGGCCAATTGGGTCATCCTCTTGACTGGGGCCTGAAAGCCCGCATTTGTTATTTTAGTTTCTTTTCAGGGTAAAGTTCAAGCTTATGAATGAGGGAACAGGGTGCCCAAGTGGAGAAGGTCAGAGACCACTTCTATCTAGCATGGAATTTTCCGTACAAACTAGCCATCATGAAGGGCTACTGGACAATCCTGGACTTAACATTCAACACAGGAGCCCCTGAACACCTTGAGAAGCTATATCCATGCTGTGTTATTAAAGAAAAAATACCAGTCACGCATTGCAACCGAAGTTGATAATTGGGAACAGCAGGAAGGAGTCTCCTGCTTCCATTCCAGCCATTAACTGCTTGGTTGAGAGTCTGATCGTCTGGCTTCTGTCCTCTAGCTGTGGAGTGGACCAGTTTTCCTGGCATATGTATTTATTGAACTCCAAAAAGCTAGCTCTTCTGTGTAGATTAATTCATGATTTCAAAGACACTTTGAAGCTGGTAAAACATTCTGTTATTTCCAAGAGTTATTACAAGTGGAGTCCTGGCATGGACTGGAAGGTCGGCCTATAATCTTGTTTAGATCCTTTTAAATTCAGAAACTGTACGGTGGGTTAAAAATAGATCACATCTGTGTACTTTTCCTTCTTTCATCCCCATTGCAAAGGTTGTGTAGTACTTTTGATCTACCTTAATATTAGCAAGAGAAATTCTAGCTCTTGTCACCTGGGAGTCTGCTGGGCCAAAAGAAAAATCATTTTCAAATAAGTTCTGGGGTGATGCTAGTCACTCAACTGAGCAGAATTACTCATCATCCTACATAATAAATTCTAGAATTAAGAACAACAGACTATCATGAAGACCTGTGAACAATATAGGGGTTCATGTTAAGTGAAAATATAGACCAAGAGGAGAGAAATTTTCAGTAGTGCTATCTTGAAGGGGTTGTGTCTTTACATATTGATCAGAAAAGACCATAGTGCTTAGATCAAAAGAAGTTATATGAAGCTAGAAAGTCAGGCTGCTTTTAACCAAAAGTTAAATAAAGATTGCTCCTGATTTGACAAGAGCCAATATACTAGACAGTATCTTATGTGGTACTCACTGGGTTAAGGGGGTGTCAGCATTTACCCCCAGCAAAGACAGCATTACACTCAGGATTACCTCTTCATGGTTACTTTACCTTCATGAACATGCTAAATCCAGTTTTAAGGAGATCACTGAGGCCTGAAGACATGTGTTCAATATCAATGGGATCTGACTTTTCGGGATTAAATATTTCCTCCACGATCTGCTTCAACAATGGCTTATAGGATGCCTGGAAAGACAAAATATTGTGCTGTAAGTAACAGAGTTTGTTTGGTTTGTCTGGAGAGAGGATAGTTTTATCTGCCCCAAATGAAACAAAACAAGTTTATTTTGATCCTGAGCAGTGGCTATGATCTTGTGCTTGTGAAAAGACAATGATAACAACATTGGGTTTTGGGTAAATTTTTGCCCCAGTGCTCTAGCCCTGTTTTTTTGTTTCTCATACTCCCTTCTACAAGCAAATATCTCTTCCCAGAGCTATAATCATTGAATGACTAGTCTTTCAATCTAGATTTAAAGTGATAATTTTATGTGTGACATATACTGGAAAGCAAGGTATCGTCATTTGATGTAGACATTAAGATGATTGTGCTCAGGTTTTCCTAAACAGCCTTAGAATTATGCTCCCTCTGCTAGGAACTCAAATGTTGTCTTACAATGCATTGTTGATACTCAAGCTCAAAGCAATGCCGCCTTCCTCTATAGAGTTCAATTCTTGGCCAGAAAAAGAAGCCAAGATGCCAAAAAGGAATGTGACCAAGGTCAGGGCCGAAAAGAAAGCAGGCTGCATGTACTATAAGGATTACAGTAGAATTAAACTGAAATTTTGATAAGTTATGCTAAGTTATGTCCTTTCCTGTGTCTTGAACAACCCTTCCAAGTTTGAGTAATGTTTGGAGGCAGCTGCGTCTAACTGCTGTATTTTGTGAGCATGTTCCCACAGCCTCTTCCCTTGGTTCTCTCTACTACAAAGCTCTTCCTCTCTTCTCTTCCTGTCAGTTGGACCATGTTACTCCCAGTCCCGTTGCTGCCTCTGCTGCTCCGGTTCCATTCAGCACCTGAGTTTGGAGCATACAAGGTGAAGGAAGAAGAAAAATCTTCCCTCAGTGCTTACTCTCTGTCTGTTATGTCTCTATTGTATCCATTATAGGCTCAGAAAAGCCAGGTTCTCTTTGCATTGGCCAAATCTGTCTTTAGCAAGTGTCAAGGATGTTTGGTGTATTGACTTAATCTCTGGCTTCATCTTGATTTTCTTATTGTTATTTTTACTCTTATTTTCCTTTTATTCCAATTTTCTTACTTAAAATATCTTAGAAATAAAGCAGGATATAAACCTCTGCTAGGAACTCAAATGTTTTCTTACAATGCATTGTTGATACCCAAGCTCAAAGCAATGCCGCCTTCCTCTATAGAGTTCAATTCCATGTATGACTTGGCCAGAAAAAGAAGCCAAGATGCCAAAAAGGAATGTGACCAAGGTCAGGGCCGAAAAGAAAGCAGGCTGCATGTACTATAAGGATTACAGTAGAATTAAACTGAAATTTTGATAAGTTATGCTAAGTGCCTTCCTTTCCTGTGTCTTGAACAACCCTTCCAAGTTTGAGTAATGTTTGGAGGCAGCTGCGTCTAACTGCTGTATTTTGTGAGCATGTTCCCACAGCCTCTTCCCTTGGTTCTCTCTACTACAAAGCTCTTCCTCTCTTCTCTTCCTGTCAGTTGGACCATGTTACTCCCAGTCCCGTTGCTGCCTCTGCTGCTCCGGTTCCATTCAGCACCTGAGTTTGGAGCATACAAGGTGAAGGAAGAAGAAAAATCTTCCCTCAGTGCTTACTCTCTGTCTGTTACGTCTCTATTGTATCCATTATAGGCTCAGAAAAGCCAGGTTCTCTTTGCATTGGCCAAATCTGTCTTTAGCAAGTGTCAAGGATATTTGGTGTATTGACTTCATCTCTGGCTTCATCTTGATTTTCTTATTGTTATTTTTACTCTTATTTTCCTTTTATTCCAGTTTTCTTACTTAAAATATCTTAGAAATAAAGCAGGATATAAACCATCAAAATCAAAATCAAAATCATAAACAATCATTTAGCTAGCATGCAATCGGTATGTTTGTCGGGAATAAGATGTACGGAAAATAGCAACTGTTCAGTTGAGGGGTGTAGCCTTCTTATGTTTCTGAGCCTAGAGATCTCATAGGTTAATGCTCATGAAAGGTAAAGCACTGGAGAGGAACACTGATAAGACAGAAACAAAACAAAACAAAACACAAAAACTGGGAGTCAACTTTCCTTATAATAAAGCTATACCAAGATAGATTTTAAAATTTATCATACAGGCAAAAATCCAGAGGTTTGAAATCACTTTCAATGAGGCAGTGGGGAAATAGAAACTCCCATATATTGCTGATGGGAGGGTAGGCTTAAAATCAGTGTGGAGAGCAATTTGGCAATACCTATCAAAATTACAAATGCATTCAATGTATTTGACTTAGCAATTCCACTGATGGGTATTTATCTTATAAATATGCTAATGCATGTAAATGAGACCCATAAAAGGCTGTCTATTGATTGTAACAGCAAAAGATTGGAAACAACTCAAGTGCCATCAATAGGGAGCTGTTTGTTAAATGAGAAACATACACAGGAAGGAACGCTATGAAAGTGAAGAGGGAAGCTCCGTGCTGGCGGGGCAAACAACAAAATGCAGAATAAAGTGGGAGTGAAAAAAGCAAGGTGAGAAACGGTGTGTATGATGGGCTGGCATTTATGTCAAGTAGGTCACAAGGAAAATGAAAGTCTGCATTTGCTGAAATCTGTAAAAAATGAATCTCGTGATACACAGAGACTTCCCTGACAAGAGACAAAGGTGGGAGTAAGACTTTTCTGTGTATTGCTTTCTATAAACAGAGTTAAAACACCACTACAAACAGCAAGAAGGATTTTTTTTTTACTTGTTGAAAATTAATAAATTATGCATAGAAGAGAAGGGAGTAAAGGCACACCAAATGTTAATTAGGGCTAGCTGCAGGTTCTGAGAGTAAGGGACATTATTTCCTTCTTTTTCCAAAATTAACAGATATACTTCTGGAATGATAACATACTGCAATAAGTATTTTCAATGTTAAGAAAACAGGCCATGGAATGGCCTCCGAATTCTAGAAATCTTCTTCCCTTTGTCTTCTACCACCTCAGCCTTTCTGAACATTTAAACTGTTAAACTTTAATCTCTTTAAACTGCTCCCCAAAGAGAAGCGCTTTGGTCAATACTCCACTACCTTATTAGCATTCTCATCAAATATTAATCATCTTCTTCCTTAGTAAAAGAATCCAATTTTTAGTCAAGCCCATTATCAATTGGGTAAAAGACCCCATCCATTCTCCAGCCTTCCTTGAACTGGGTATGACCTTGGAACTAAGTTTTGGGCAACAATATATAAGTAGAAGGGGAATGGGACTTTCAGAGGTCTCTTTTTCTGAAAGGGAAGGGTATGTTTTCTTTCTCTTTCTCTGTTCTGCTGCCCGGAACAGGGAAGTGATGATCGGAGCTCCAGTAGCCATGAGGAATAAAGGGCCATTCCTTAGAGATGCTGGAGCAACAGCTGGAAGAAACCTTTGTTGGCGATAACTGGTGGAGCTGCCATAACCATAGCATGGACAGACTGAATCAGGACTTACTTTACACAACAATACAAATCCTGGTACGTTTAAGCCATTCTTTTTCAGGTCTCTGTTACTTACTACTGAAATTCTAACTGATACAAAGCATGAAGGGAATATAAAGAAATAAAAGTTCATTCCTTCCTTCCAGGACCTTACAGTTTTTACAGTTATTTGTTTTATTTGTGTGTGTGTGTATGTGTGTGTGTGTGTGTGTGTGTGTACATATACATATATATAACAGTTATGTAGAATAACTTTAAGCAGAATCAGAGAGAAATGCACATAGGCTGTCACATTTAGGAGAGGAGAGAGTATGCTCCCCAATCTACAAAAACACAACGAAAAAGTTGTTGCCCTCCATCAGAGAAACCTTTTGCAAGAAGGAAGAGTAATAGTCCTGAAAAAAAAAAAAGCTCAGACACAGGAACAAGGTGGTTCCGCAGTCCAGCTAATACACTACACTCAGCACCTCCTCCCTGCAAGCACCGCGTGCACAAGGTGACAGCATTGTTCTCAGGGCTCCAGAGGCCTCTGTGTAGACTAGGGAGACATGGGAAAGAAGGAAGTGCAGCGGGATTAAGGATCGTGCTCTCTCCCGTTCCACTTTCAGGTAAGCTCTGGGGAATGAGGCACCCAGGAGAAGATGCCCACTGAGCTGGAGTTCCCCTTGGAGGGTGAGCAGAGGTTTGGAAGTGCTATCCCTTTAGCAGCTTCATTCTCGAGACCTCGTGATCATTGCACATTATTGGGGAAGGTTGTAAATCTTTTCTATTTTATTTTTTAAAGGTATATAGGTAATATTGAGAATGAGGAAAAAAAACACAATTTAAATACAGAAAAGTAACAGATAACAAACGCGTCACATAATAGAGAAAAATAACATAAAAGCTTTTGTTAACTGCTTGACATGCCTCTATCATATTCATTTCTTACATATTTTGGCCACATTCCCTTTGATTATCTTTTCATATAACAGCAATTAAAAAAAATCATCCTTCATACAGAGATGCAATGGTTATTAAACTATTGTCCCTCAACTCCACAACTGGCCATTCTGCACTCAGTTCTGTGATGCTGGGCTGAGGCTCCACAAACTTCTGTGCTTTGCCATCTGGGTCTGTTAGATTCTGCCAATAGGGGGCACTAGCGGGAGATTGGAAGGCCGGAAGAGCAAGATGGAACTTGCTCCTCCCTTTTTATTTGCTGTTCCTGCCAGCAGCACCCCAGAATGGCCCTTCACAACCTGAAGCTGTTCCTTCTCTGGACTTTCAAATCATAGGATCCAATAAATCATCTTTCTTGTTTAAGCCACTTTGAGATGTTTTCTTTTTTCTATTTTTACTTGTACCCAAAAGCACACTAAATGATATATTATTAATTTAAAAAGGCGTTGATAGGTTTTCCAAATTAAATATTATGTAGAAAAGACCTCTAAATTCTTTATAAAAACAACTGAGCACAGAACAACTGAATAACATTGTCCATTTAAAGAGCACGATTTGGGAAAGAATTTCTCAGGTACAAAGTGGTACTTGTTTTGTGACTTCTTAGCAAACACATTTCTTAGATT